GAAGCACGCGAACACCGCAGTACTCTTCTTCCTCGCGAGCTCATGGAGCCGCTGGATGGCGAACAGCATGTCGAGCGTCGACCGGTGTGGGCGGAAACCGCTCTGCTCCTCCGGGAGGATGCCCTCTCGCTCGCAGTAGTGGCTCAGTCGTGCAGCGACGACCTTAAGCAGCACCTTGCCGGCGTGTGCGACGAGAGAGATGCCCCGGTAGTTGCCGCACTCCATCGTGTCCCCCTTCTTGAACAGCACTTTGATGGTGGCATCCTTACAGGATTCGTCGCATTTCGTATGCACGACGACGTCGACATCTCAAGGGCGTCAAAATACCATCGTCACACACAATATGAATCATGTTGCGCGTCGAGTAAAACAACGGCGACGCGCCCAACACCTGCGGCTCATGCGTGGGGTACGCCCAATGTCTTGGTCATCATCGTGTTGGTTCCGCACGCACAACAGAGCAGGTCATCAACTAGATGTATGTGTCCCCAGAGTTGGCTGCACACAGGCAATCTCAAGTGTTGTGCCACGTACAGTTCAGTATAAAAAACACATATTGCCGTGAAATAGGCAAGAGCGATTATTTTTAGGGGGAGGGGCGCGTGGGGAAGTCCCCATGTCGTTTTCCCTCCCTGTGCCTTCATGACAACAGCGGTTTGTTGAGTCCCTGGAAATACAGAGGCTGCTGCATCGCGAGCCCTCGCTATGATCAAGATATGCGTATGTCATGTACAAAGCTTCGCCGGTTGTTCTCGCGATATGTTTCTATTGTAGAGGTCTTTCGTTTTCTGTGCCCCGTTTCTATTTGACGGTAGGTTGTTGTGGTACGTTTGTTTCGTCCCAAGTTCTGCATCCTCCGACATCCTCCAACGTCGTATGTATGTGGCATGTCTGCGAAAATATAGTCTATGCATACCGTAGCATACTACTGTTAATTACAGCCATGGATTTAGCCCCGGGTGCACACGATGATCATCTTTGATTGGTGAAAAGGCTACGTACCTCGTCGGGGTGTCCTCACCGAAATAAGGAACGCACAGAGGAGGGCGCACGCAAAAGAATAGAAAAAACATCACCGCGGGACGAACCGGGCGAAAAACACCACAGGATGGGCCACATCTCTTTCTTCTGGTGGGGCATCATGCCCCGGACACACACACGTACACCCTCTTTGCCGCTGTGGCCGATGGGACCCGCGAACATCGAGCCAATGCAACGTGTTTTTCTACGAATCATTCGACGATCTTTTTGTTTCGCTTTGGAAGCAAGCCGACGAGCAACGTCGGCGTTGCCAAAAGCTGTCTTGATTGTTGATTCTTCGATGTGCTTCAGGTGTGAGAAAGTCAGCGGGGCGAGACCCCCTACAGCATGCACGAAATAGGTCCAGGGCGCGGCAGATCACTTTCCTGGCAGCAGCGTTGATGCAAACGCGAAGATATCATGGAAGAACGGCAGAGGGCCGTGAAAACGACAGCCGTATCGTACATATGGCCGAAAGTGGTTGCGTGAGAGGTGCAACCCAGCCCGAAAACAATTGTGGCGTTTTCGCCTGTGAGACAGCAGTATACCCACTACACCGTTGACATCAACCTCCGCTCCCACCGTGTTGATGCGCGTTTAACTACGTGATGGTTGCGTCCTCCTCTCTCCTTCGCCGGTCTTACATGCTGTCGCTCTTTTGCCACCCGCAGCAGCTGTTGTTGTTGCTAGTTGCAGCACTGCTGATGGACAAACGCTCGTCCAAGCCGCTGTCTAAATGATGAGGGCTCGCTGGCCGCGCCTTGACGCGCACCCCACCACGGTTCCCTCTAGCAAAGCTGCTTTTTAGAATCCGACCACTCGGGGGTGCGCCCCGACAACTCTTATCGCGAACAGCGCCGAGGTTCCTGCAGCTGCTCTCAAGCTCCGGACTCTCACTTGGTGAAAACGTTGGCAACCTCCCAAGATCGCCACTTGTGCTGCCGGCGTCCTTAGCACCCTCCAACCCAGAGATCGTCAACCGCTGGCATTGAGGTAGACGTCGCGCTGGCTGTGTTTTGTCGTGTCGCCAATGTGGCGCGACGGCCTTGGTTCGAGCGGGGCGTTGGCCGGTTGAACCGGAAACCATTGGCCGGACGCCCGGGGTCACCGCTAGCCCGGAGCCAACATCGCTCGCTTCGACGCACTGCCGCGTCTCGCGACGATGTCCTTCCTCACGGCGATGGAATCCTCTTGATCTTTCATCGTCTGGGTCGATTTCCAACCGCACCTGCGTCGAGGAGCTCGTCATCACGCCCAATGAGCCGGGCGACTCCGGCCGTAAGGCGTCGGCCAAGAGGCCGTTGGATTTGTGCCCGCCGATAGCTCCAAGAGCACCAGCACTACGTAACGACTGGCTAGACCTCGCTCGTCGGCTCCTCGTCCAGATTCTCGGCGTCACCCCCGTGTCTCTGTTGGTTGCTGGAGAGAGCAGACTATTGTTCAGCACGGCCGCGGTGGGAAAGGGTGACCGCGTCGAGGGCGACCCCCCGCCCGTCTTCCCCTTGCCCGAATCTATTCGTCTTTTCTCGTTCACTTGACCGCCCCGCTTTCCCGCCGGGTCCTGCTCCACGGCATCCTCCCCACCCACAGCATGGCGACTCTCGCTACTACCACAGTTGCCACCGCTGCCACCTTCCGCACCTTGGTCTTCTGGTGGGACGTTAGATGTGTTTGACGTGTCGCTTTCGACTGGCCGACCAACTGGCTCTGCCGCGGGGGCTGCCATTACGTCGTTGGGATCAACAAGAAATACCTGTTTGCCGGGAACAGGGAACCACTCAAGAGGCCGAGAAGCATTCGGTTTCCATTTTCTGGTCGTCGCAGACGCTGCCGTGGAGTTGCCGTCGTCCGGGATTCGTCGTCGACGATGGGAGGATGCGGTGGCGTCAGGCTTGTCTCCTTCTCCCATCCGTACTTGTTTCGAGCAATCCTCTGGAGGGGAAACCTCTTGTTGCTGGTTGTCGACCCGCCAGATATCTGTCGACCTCGTCGTCTCATGTGCAAGGGAAGCGCTGCTAGGACTGCTGGCACCTTCCCCTGCGTCTTTCTCTGGTCTACCGTCCACTTGCGTCAGCTCGAAAACCGTCGCCGTTGCGCTCACTGGTGTGCAACGAGGGGGCCACGGGAGTGAAGCGTAAAAACAATGTACAGGTACGTTTGTCGAGGATGGCTAGCCAGTTCCAGCCCCAGGGGATGACCCGGTCGAATGCATGGTGTTGTTCCCTAGTACTCATCATGCACGTTTGTCTCGCTCGATTGCATCAGTCCATGTGACGCGATATTGAGCCAGGCTCTCATATCCCAATCATCAATCACCCAAGCGGAGCCGATTGGAAACATCTACTGTACGCGCCCTCGGCGTGAACACCTACCTGGGTTGCCTCCTTTCCAAGCAGATAGAGGGCTGTCTAGCGTTCGCGTCAGAGTCTTCGCCAACATATTCGTTGTTGCCTGGGCGCCGACCGTTGAGTTTTCCGCGAGAGACTTCGTCACCACCGACATAGCTGGCGACGACGCGGATATTGTGGAGGTGTTAATGCACTCACCGCTACCCCCGCCGCCGCCGCCGCCGCCCCGGCTACTATCACGGACGAGCATTCGGTTGTCTGCCTTCAGCGATCCCATTTCTCTCTGGAGCTCAAGCCAAGCTTCGTCGGCAGATGTGGGAACCTTCTCGGCCGCTGGCCTCGAGCAGCTGCTCGTGTTGATCGAAGGTACCGACAAGCCCCTCGACTGCGAAAACCGTGCGTAGACGCTGTTGTCGCCTCCATGGCTCGGCACCACGGCCGCCAACCTGAGGTGCGCGTGCTTGCTGGACAGCCTCGGGATCGAAGAGGTCGAAGCTGACTGTTGGAGTTGACGGGGAGGTGTATCCCCAACTCGGAAGGGCATCGTGAGGGAAGTGCAGCGAGGCATCGTCGGTCGAGGCGCGACGGATACCTGCGGCGGCAGGAACGAGAGGCAGCAGCGATGGCAAACACAACACAGTTAGAGCTACTAATGAGGAAGGGTCGGCGGGGTATTTGGTTGCACGAGCTGAAAGGGGTATGATAGGGTCGTGATGAAGCCGTGCTCTCTGGTGGGGTAATAGGGTACAGGAAATTGGGGAATGTTTCTCCACAGACCGGCGGCAGCATGATATTCCGAGGTTCGGTTAGGCTCCCTGAACCCGACCCGACCGCGGTCAACACTTTCACTAGGCCCCCTGAGCGATGCAAAATCGGAGTCTCGCCCTTCAACATAACAAACGAAACCCATGCGTCACCCCTCGGCCTGACTCAATCAATCAGCCGCAGAGGCAGCACCCACGCCCCCAGGTAGACAAGGTTCTGTCCGCGCTTGGAAGAAATCTGGAGTTAATTTTGCTGATTCAACCGCATCTCCGTCACTCGATACAAGGACCACAATGCCAGTTCCATGGCGCCCAAGGAGGTGTTTTCACGGGCCTCCGACACTGTCCTCCACTCCCTCTCGCAAGCTTGTATTCTACTACTCCACGTAGTAGTTGGGACCGCATTTGTCATACGTATGTATGCACGACACATGACAACTTGCTGGGGGGATGCGAGTTTGTTTCTACCGTTGCATCGCCTGGGTAGCGCACGACCCGCACGGCCCGCACGGCCCGCACTGCGTACCTCAGACCCGTCGATGTGGTACCATGCAACCTGTCTAGCCCTCCGTCCTCCCATCCTTAGAGCGGCCGTCTGGTTTTGCAGGCCCACCAGTCTCGGGGGCGCCACCACGAAAACGGGGTCCCACGATCCTTCCGCGCTGAAAACGTCGACGACGTTGTTTTTGGGGCAAAGATGGATGCGGAGGACCGAAGGAGTAGGTGACAAGTTGGAGGGGGCAGCAGCGGCGTTGCTAGAGGCCGTCAAACCGTTCGCCGTCGATGGCTCTGTTGACACGGCGGGAGAAAAATTCTCGGAGACGGGTGCCGATCCTGGTGATGCGGGTGGTGCCTGTTGTTGTGCGGCCGAAGGAAGCAAAAGATCTGCCGTGGAAAACAAAGCGCATGGCGGGATGTTTTTAACGCGAATTTTCAACATTTTTGCAAAGCCTGTTGCTGCTGCTATATACCACAATTGGGTCTATCAGGTACAAACTCTACGCAGTCAGCTTCACAACCTCAAGACCCGCGTTCCCCCTCCCATCCGGACGCGGCTCCTGCTACTTCGAAATTGTTTTTTGCTCACCCGTGTAGTTCCGGGACGAATCGACAATTACTTCTCGGTCTCCACCAGACGGGCGCCCGTTCAGAATCTGAGACGGTTCGTCCCCATCACCTTCCTCCAACGCTTCGTTTAAGCTCCCCGCGCCTCGAGGGAGGCCGCTGGCCGACAGCCCGCGGGACTGCCGGTGCAACCTACTGGGCCCTGCCGTGGCGTTACCGGCTAATGCGGGGACGTGACACCACCAGCCCCGGGGGTCGTAGTAGAGGTCGCGGGAGTCGATGCGCACGTCGCCACGGTAGGCCGAGCTTTGGATACTTTCGAAGGGTGCCACTGTCACCAAGAAGGCCTCGGGATCAACGGTGACGATCACCGACCATGTACCGCAAAGGACCTGGGTGGGTCGAAACAGGATGCACGATGCGTCAAAAACCGGGGGACAATCGGAGAGGACAGGGGTAATGCCAACAGCTCCGGATCAAGAGCTCACCGGTTTCTCATGTAAGCTTCGGCTTGTTGGTTATTGTTTTTTGCCTGCGGGTCTTTGCGAAGTGAAAGACCAGTTGAAGAGGGAAGAAATAGTGCAAAAAACATCGGGAGTCAAGAATCAGGTTTTTCCCGCTCCGCAACCACGCCACTCAGGTGGTCACCCCGGTCATGACGCAATACTACAAAGAACACATTCAGATAATTCAGATATACGCGTGGGGACCCATACTGCGCACAGTTGTGTCTTTCGCCGTCTTGTGGTCATTGACGACGCACTCCGTACGCTTCCGCTCACCTACCGCTCAACAGAAGTAATGCTTCACCTGCACCCTTTCTCCAGATCTCGGCCGTCGAATGTTTGCCCGCCAGAAGCCGGCATCCGGGGGCGATGAACTGTCCACCGAAGCCGCCTGTTGAGTGGCACATACGCCCCCGCGATCGCCGCTATCGTCGTCGGCCGGGAGTGGATCGAGATGGAAACACGGGGTCCTCGGTGAACGATGGCGCGACGGCACGACAGACCCCCACCCCAATCCATCTCTCCTGTGGTCACCATGAACTTCCCCACCGAACGACTGCGAGGGTAAAGAGCACAAGGTCGCAATGGGGAAGCCAGGAAAGGTGCCAATAGCCCCAATAGCCACCTGTTATTTTCAGGGCGTGGCTAGTGTGTTCGCCTCTACCGCAGGGCTGGGGGTCCGAAGGACGGCCTGAGATGGTTGGGAAGATTGGCGGCCGCTTTCATCTGCCGAAAATCATGGTGACCGTCACATGTCAATGGGCCAGTCACCAGGGAGACTCACATACGTCGGCACTATAAGCAATAACGCTCCCAACGCAATGACCTATTCACGTCCGATAAAATGCAAAGGGGCTCCTCATGCACGCGCTGTGAGCAGAAACCCACCACCGATGTCGGGTGAAGGTCGTCATGGCTAAGTTTCGCTCGTGCTAGGAGCGGCTCCATCTGGTCGTACGCCCGTTGGTCCATCGGGGAGGTCTTCCACGCCACCAGTTCGGGACACGCCGGGCTTCGGGTGAACAGGATCACCGCTCTCCGACACAAGCGCGTTAGCCCGATCCCACGCGGCGGCACGTTTGCCTCGATGCTGCCGAGGCCAGTAGCTCCCGCCTCGTCGTCGGCCCCCCACGCCGCTTCCCCCTCTTGGTTTGAGCCCCTCGCGTGCCCCGAGGAATCTTCCCAACTCTCGAAGACATGGTCCACGTCAATACCCGTAATGATGGGGGGAAGGGCCTCGAGCAGGTCTCTTTGCTGCCTGTCTAACAATGGAGGAGCCGTCGTGTTAGCACGTCCCGGCATCGAATGCTTCCGGGATTTCAAAGCGCACCACGGCAGCAGAGGAAAAAATGGAGTTGGGGCGCGTGAAATTGGGTTCGTCACTGCTACATTCGTAATACCGGCATAGTGCCCCTCGGCAAGGTTGAGGCGAGGACAGCCAAGTTCTCGCTTCGATGGAGAGCTATTCATCTCAAACAACACTGCATCGGTGAGGGGATGTTTGCGTGGGAAGACGTGTACCAGGCCTTGCATGCGGGGAAACGTTCACGAGATAGTCGCCTTGAAAAATTGATGAATGGGTAGAGCTCATGCACGAAATCGTGCCATGCCATAGACATCTCTCACTCGATCGAGTTCGCGCAGTATCGACGAGCGCAGCGCGTGTACAAGGGCGGTGCAAACAAAAGCCGGCACTCGACTGAGATCCTTAGGTATGCAGTCCGGGAGGTTTGCTTGCGGCACCAGCAGCACCATGAATGCATCTGTAAGAACCTGCAAGGCCGAATCGCCGGAGAGAGTCGTCAGGGGAAAACGAGTCTTGACGGCTCAGCCGCATGCGTATCTCTCGCGAAAGGGTTTTGGTCATATCCCACATTGGATTGACAAGGCAACGCCAGGAAGCACATCGAGACAAAGCCTCCTATGGTTGTGTGCTTCCGTGAGCCCCGCCTCAAGAGCTCGTCCAACGGTTCAAACTGCGCCTGCTCTTCCACCCACCTCAACAACCTTGGATGCCTCTGACACAAACAACACGTCACCTAGCCCTCGCGCTCCTGAACTTTCCTCACCTGCTGGGGAACGTTTTCCCTGGCAAATGCCCTCACAGCTAACAACACAGCGACGTCAAGCTTCAGCCCTAAGGGAAGGGACAATAGCGCTTCCAGGTGCGGGCGAGGTAGCGGCAAAGACCATTCTCGTCGCACATTGCCGCGGACGCTGCCGCCAACACCTCCGCGAGTAAAGCGGCCGAGCCATTTTGACGTGTTCGCCGCCGTCGCGCGCTGATCGTAGCGCTCGAGGAGTGTGGCCAGTCGAAAGCTGTCAGCTGCATCCACCCTTATGTTATTGCGTGCACAGGCCAGAATGAGGATAGATTTTGTTTTTCAGTTGAAACTTCAATGTGAAACTTCGCAAACCTTTTACGTTCAAGTTGTTCGGATTGCACCTGGGTTTGTCGTGATTGTGCTCAATATTCCTCGGCACAATTGTGTGTCACACGGTGTCATCCTTAATGCTTGAAGTCAGTTTTGTCATTCGCCTCTCAGTACTACATATCTGGGCGCAGCCATGGGGGACACAGGAAGAAGGACACAGCGGTCTTTACCCTCTTTCGAACCCGAGAAGGATCCAGTATCCTCTTTTTCTCGTCGACCATGCAGTCGATCTGTTGCGTATCCACAAGGTATCCGTGATACACTTGTTTCGATTAATAACCTACACTAGACTATTGCTCCGGCAGAAATACGTATTGGGTATGAACCACCGTACACTTTCGGTCCTGCCGGCTGCACTTGGCCTGCCGAACTTGTCACCCCATCGGCTCTGCGCAAATCGCCCGAGCATCGAACAGTCTGGACAACACAAGATGGTTCCCCATACCCCTCACCTGGAGGGGATTTTCCACACGACGTTCTCGTAGAAGTCTTGCGTAAGATGGCCTTGTGTTTCCAAATCCACAAACCCAGATTTGTACGCTGACGCTTTTTGTTTCTGCGATGGGTGATGTCTTCCCACATCTTTGACAACGACGATGCTGGAAGGCGAGGCAATCGCCGTGCTGCCGTCCTTGTCCCGTGTTTTGTCTCGCTTCGGCGAAGGTTGGTTCCACGTTGGCAAGAGGTGGTCACTCGTTGCACCCCCACCGCTCCCGTTGTGTTGGTGACTGTCATCAGCGATCCGCCGCTCTTCGGCGGTGACAAACTCATCATCTAGCACCCACAAATTTGGTAACGCGCAGAGCGTCCGTCGCCGCTCTTCGGAAGAGCGGCCGCTGCCCAGTGAAAGCTCCAGTATATGGGCGCGGGCAAGAGGTCGGAGACCGTCTAATGGGATGAAGTTGCTCGAGAGGTTGAGGTAGCCCAATGCCATCACACGGGACAGACCACCGAGGGACTCCTGCGCGACAAACGCAGGGCCCCACAAGGTGACTCGCGGTGTTTGACCATGAGACTACAGAAGTCTACCCGCAGATACTGTAGATTGATGGACGCTCTTGTGGTCTTCAACGTATGCATAGGACATGAGCAGTGTTTCGTTGAAACTTGACCTCATGGCAGGCTATGTGCGTTTGTTACCCACCCTTGTTTTTGCCGGTTGCTCGCAGTTTCTCTCCGTCGTTCGGTCTTGCCGAACGTACAGAAGATATTCTATAGGGGGTCAAACAGCAAGATTCTGTTAGACGCATGACTCGATACAAGGCTTGAACACTCCCTTGGCTCAATAGGCCCCTACTACTATAACTTAAGAGCGTTTAGAAATGCGGGATACCCTGAGTAGAACTTTCATCTTGGCAACTAGCAGATGCTCGGGAGTACCAACTACATATATGTTCACCGGGGTGATTGGTGCGCGCCTGATCCACTAGTCTAGGTCACAAGCAGCTTGAGAAAGTGAAGTATTATAATGATCTTTAATAATTTGTCTGAAATGTAGTCTTTCATTCCTCCAAACACGTTTAAGGATCCTCACGAGCCGATTATGGGAAGCATCGACGATCCACAGCTCCTTGCATCCTTCGAGGCATGCAGAATCTAGCTCTGTCAACGCGTTCCAGGAGACGTCCAATGATGTGACGCCAGGGCACGCATCCAGTCCAACGAGCCGCGTCATTCCTCGCCCACGAAGCTGTACCGATTGCACCTCGTTGAGGGGCTCTTTGCACACATGGCGGAGGGTATGAGGGCGTATGACTGTGCTCATCGACCACCAAGCTGGGTATGTTGCACGCGACGTGTGTGAAATGGAGGCATTGACGATTGAACGTGCGAAAACTCACTAAATGCGGCACAATCATCGTTTGAAGAAAGTTCTGAAACTGACGAACCGGCACTACTGGCCGTACGCGGCACAACCAGAGTCTACGAGTCACCCCGCTCAACGCTCAACCATCAAAATTTGCTCATTCATGGTGCTGGGGAGTGTCAAGACTACTCCAGCTGTTTGGGAAAGTGGGACTGGGCGTACAGTGATGTTTTGACGAGAACCACTCCGTGCTGTTCTGTCCAGGAGTCTAATGTCCTTGATCGAAGGGTTCGAGGTCCAAAAATGGATGCGCAAGAGAGGAAGAATAAGGGAGGCAGAGGTTATCGTGGTAAGTTGGCATGCCAAATGTGCAAGCATGGCATTTTACTCGGTTCCAAGAATGTTGATGTTCAATGGACTGACTTATCCACAGATAACGCTACCGTCACGTCTGTTGTGTGCATGATGACGTCAAATAGAGCCCTTCTCAATTGCACTCATTCGAGAGTGTTGGATTACCTGTATTTTATGATGCACACTGGAATCCTCAGGAAGATCAGTGTGCAGCGTTGGTTCAACCCGCTGCGGTTGTTCGTCCACGTCTCACACACGGGGAACCGAACAAAATAATACTATTACATCAGTGCACTGCTGTGTGAGAGCTGCAGATGTTTACCTCGTACGCCACTTTCACCGACAAGAAAAGCTGTAGGGTGGGAGTTGATATCCGGGTGAGATGTAGACTATAGTCTAAGTTCCGCGTCTCGTGCCTAACTGCAGCACATCGAGGAAGAAGGCGATTGTTCGTGAGAGAACACCTTTGAGGGAAGGGTGGCCTGCTCTACCGGGTATTCATTGCAAGCGCCGGCTAAAAATACCAGGACTAGACCGGGGGTGAACGGCAGTGAAAAGAAAAATGGTGCGGCTACAACAGGGTCAGCGAAATACTTCGATACCCCGTGAATGTTCCCCACGCGGGTGTTCAGAACTGCCGACTGCTATATGTCATACACATTGCTACTACAGCATCCTAAAGAATCCTTGTCGACAGTTCAAATTCGCGTGGGGTGGTGGCTCAAAACTGTCCTTCCCATTAGAGACTGATTAGCCCGGAGGTGGTCATAGTTTCGCCCCTTGACCTTTTTCTTGGGCGCACACGCAACTTTCTCCGGAAACGTCACAGGCGAACAAAGGCTCTGATGACCGATGGATTGACCTTCAACTCATCTTCAACCACTTGGATGCTCAGCAGAGGGGGAAAATCAGCCTTAGCGCAATCAGGTGCCACCTCGCCCACCAATCGTGGGTGTCGGTGACCCACGGGACCGACCCGATCAAATGAATGCCCACTTGAAAAAATGTTCGAAACATCTTCGCTTTGATGTTGTTGTGTTCGTCACAAAGCTGCCCGCTTTCGCCGAGCGATTTCCCCACGACGAACGCGGATATTTTATCAGCCATTGTTGTGCCGTATCCATTTCGCACCAGGAACGCTCTCAGCATGGTGGAGCTCAGTGAGGACCCAGCACGACACGACCACCTTTCTCAAAGTATCGTCAGCTGCTTCCATGCACCCGGTGTACCCAAGTCAATCGGCGGGGCGGTAGATTTCAGCCAATTCGTCAGTGTCATGGCCCACCGGGTAAACCGTTCGTCTTTGTGATACTTCTTGATCATTTCCTACTATAAGTGGACGAACGCGCACGTGCGAACGAAAGACTGACATGTGGTATGTCACTCTCCGCCGTTGCCACCCGAGCTTCCGTGCAGCCACCACACAAAAAAGCGTCCCATGGCGAAGGGGTGCACTGCCATCCGACACCATGATAGATTGCTATGGACCACAACAACCAATGAACACGCACTGGCTGGTAGGGATGGGCATCGCTTTCTTCAAACTGTTCAGTTGGACCCACCACCGTTGTTGCTGCCTGTAGGAGCAAGGGTGCAAGTTCAACACACTTCAAGACGAGCTGAGAAGTGAGGGCCTAGCCGCGGCAAAGGCGCACTTCGCCGACATTTTTCGCAAGGAGGTCGTCGTACGGAAGCTTCTGGACGCCGGAGGAACGGCGGGTTTCATGTGCTCGGCCTTTCAGGTGGGTGTGCAGGCTTCACACAGAAGTTTGGCGCTTATTGACCACGCTAACGCTCAGAATACAAGGTGGGATGATAAATTGGTCTTGGGGACGAGCGTCAGGTTGTGCTTTCCATGCGTATGTCTGCTGCATCTTTGTTACGCTTCGTGTGCAGATGCTTTTCAAGGCCGGAGGGCTGGCCACATCTTCGAGTGATCGCACCCAGAAGCTCCGGCTCCTAGAGGAAACAGACAAATCCAAGCGATCAAGAAAACTGGAGTGCACGAGGGCCAAGCAGGCGAAACGAAAGCTTTTCGCCAGGTCGGCGGGTCTGTCTGGTCGCTCTGTACATTCATTCTTGGCTGCTCCCGTCAGGCAGATAGACAAGAAGTGCGATACATGCCCGCGTCGTCGCTTGTTCACCAAGTGTCGTCCCGTTTTCACTCCTCGGCAACCGAGTGAAAGCCCAGTCGCTCCAACCTCGAATGCCATCACGTATGGTACTGGCCAGTCTTCTCCATCATTTTGCTCATTCTTCCTCTTTCATCCCTTCTCCACCCCCTAAGAGTAGCTCCAGGTCTGCCAGCCAGGACACTCGGCACTTGCCAGCCCGTGCTTGCTTGCGTCCAATCGTCAGCCCTGCGCCAAGTTGTGGCGATATCGTGAATGCTGGAAGCTTGGAAACTGCGTCTGATGGCACCGGGATAGTTCCACAAGGCGCGTTAAAGCTACAACCCGAGTTGCCCCCGTACTCCACAAGTGCTGCCGTTAGACGAGTGTTTCTGGCGTGTAGAGGACGGTCCAGCCAGTGTAAGGAGAACATCAGCGGACCCAAGAGCAGGTGATTTGATTTCCAGTCTTGGAGAGGCATGGAGTCTAACGTCATTATGTAGTCTACCTACAGTAGGCTCTACATCCGTCATAGCACTGGGTTTCCGTTCAGGCACAGGCAGACCTCGGTTGGAAAAATTGCTTTCGGTTAATCCTCGGATCATTGTCTTTCGCAAAACATTCCCGAAAAGCACTCATTGATACATGTTCGAGGTTCAATCAGGTCGCACACAGAGGGCTCGCGCGTCCCGGATTCGGTACTTCTAATAGAAATGCCGGAGGAAACAAAATTTTGCCGTTGAGTCCACGAGCCACTAACGTCGTCTACATTCTGTCCACCACTCGTCGAACATACCCCACTCGTCGGAGTCAGCGTTCAGCTGAAGAATCAAGCCGTTCGAGAGGCGACAGCGGTGCTGGGACTTCACCACGCCCCGTTTCCACCGATGGACGGCAGCCCCGTCACTCGAACGGCGAACACATTTCGAGGCCGAAGGTGGGGGGTCGGCAGCAACGGCACCGGCTCTAGCGCTGCTGTGAAAAAATTTAACATCGGTCTTGCGGCCGGGGGGTTCGTGCGATACCCGTCGGCGAGTGTACGTAGGCTTCGTCGTCACCGCCGACAACGCCTTCCACCGGCAGCAGGCTTGCCGCGGTGGGGTCGCGGAAATCGTGGTGTCGTCGGTAGCATCGTGATGGAACCGACTGACCTGGGCAGCAAGGGCGTCCGTGCCTTCGCTGTTACCTCCCGTCGAAAGGACACCATCCTGAAGCGCACTCCGCTGTGCGGCCGAAGCGCGATGGCGACGCTGCCGTCATGGGCCTCGTGCGAAAACTCCGCTTGCGACCCCGGAACGGGCCCCCCGCCTCCGCTCCGACAGGATACCGCAAGCATTGCGAGCTCTGCCGGACAGGGCGACAATAGTTACCGGCGAGGCGAGGCGCACGAATTTCTGATGCACTCTGGGGTAAGAGGTACAGACGCGGTTGTTGGTGGTGACAACACCCTGGGAGGCGCGATATCATCGCTGCCGAAAGCCGGAGAGATTGACGCCGCACCGCTATCTGCGACAAGTCTCGACGAGGAAGAGTGGCGGCGGGCGATGAGTCTCGGGGGGGAGGATTGGTGGAAGGAGCACCACCCGTTGTTCTCCCCGCAATTTTCGTGCGGTCTTTCGGCGGCAACAACAACGATGACGCACTCCGTCAAGACGATAGCCACCACGATACCAACGGCCACGACGCGTGAAGCCTCTCACGACCCCCTCGTCAAGTCGAGGGACATCTGCAGCAGGGTCAGCAGCAGCAGCACTATCAGCCTTGAACCCTCCCGGAAGACAGTCCACCTTGATGGCAGTAACGTCCAGGAGTTCCATCCCGCCGAAGAATCCGTCGCAGGGAAGGTGGGACGGGGGCTGCTGCTACCGAAGAGGCCGGAGAACCCGACGGTGAGAGCGAGGGAGGGAAGGAGGCCAAACGGTTGTCGGTTCCTTCGAGGAAGAGGGGGAGGAGGAGGCGGTGCGAAGGCGGCGTGGCCACCCCCGACTCCGTGGCGTGCGCCTCGCCTCGTGAGATGCATGCGACGCCCTGACCCGACACTCGGAGGCGGCCATTTGTACAACAACGGCTAGCTAGCCGAACAGCTAGCCAGCCAAACAAGGACCGGACGACGGGTAAAGGTTGAAAAAGTTGCTTGCCAACTTGCTGGATTCGGACTGTCTGCTGTCACGCGAATCGCTCGGGCTTCTTTCTTGAGAGAAAAAAACTGCACTAAATACTTCGGTCGATGCCAGGGATACCCCCACATTTATGGCTTCGCTAACGAATTTCATGTACTATCGCATCACAATGAAGAGGTTGCGAACGTTGGTCTTGCTTTGGTTTTAGTATCACGGACTGACTCCCCCGCATCTACAATCTCGTGGCAGGCCGGCCAAACGCTAGTACGCCCCCACTCCCCCCGGAAGGAACGGCGAGTAGCCAGCGGGCACAAGCGCTTCCGAGGGGGTGGGAGGTGTTATGAGACGGACGACGAAGACGGGGGTGGGAGGTCGGGGGGGGGGGGGGGG